AAGGTGACATTGTGTGCGTTCACTCGGACAAGTCGCTCAACTGGATCGTGGCAATCTTTGGTATCCTCAAGGCAGGCGGTGTATACTCATCACTGGATCCGATTCTTCCATCAGAATTGAGAGCAACCATGTTTCGGAATGCCAACGCCAAGCTTTTCCTTACTCCAAAGGCATGCCAGCTTTGCCAAACGCCATTGACGTGTGATTTAAGCGATTCGATAGATTCCATTCTAGCAGATCCTACGGTAAATCCCGACAAGAGCGACAAGACACCCAAGCCATGGACCAATGCCTATCTCTGCTTTACTTCTGGTTCAACTGGGATCCCGAAGGGCGTTATATGCACGCACGAGGGCCTGGTTGCTTTCCAGAGCGACCTTGAGGTGAGACTCTTTGCCCAGCCTGGAGTTCGCATTGCTCAGGTCATGTCGGTTGCATTTGATGGAAGCATTCATGAAATATTCTCCGCATTGACACATGGTGCAACACTGGTTCTGCCATCTAGTGCTGATCCCTTGGGTGCTTTGGACACGGCTCACTCGGCGATTCTAACGCCTTCCATCGCTAGGGTGCTGAACCCCGAGGACTATTCGATGCTTAAATGGGTAAGAGCCTCTCTGTTGATGATTTATATAGGACTAACGGAATACGAAGGTGTACTTTGTTGGCGAACCGGTCCCTCAGGCGGTATCGGATCGTTGGTCCGCTGTCAAAACTCTGTACAACATGTATGGTCCTACCGAGGGTACTGGCGGAGCAACTATCAAACGCTTGACTCCTGGCGATGCAGTCACCATTGGAAGACCCAACCCAACAACAAGAATCTACATCTTGAACTCGCAGGGGAAACTCGCCCATCGAGGTATGATCGGTGAGATCTACATTGCTGGTGTTCAAGTCGCCCGGGGATACGTAGGTCTTGATGATCAAACTAAAGAGCGATTTCTCCCAGACACCATCATGAGAAATGGAGAACCCATGTATCGTACTGGGGATCGAGGGTACTGGACCGAAGCTGGTGAAATATGTTGCCTTGGTCGAAATGACCGTCAGATCAAATTGCGTGGATATCGTCTGGATCTGAATGACTTGGAGATTCGCATCTCGCGAGCAGCCCCCGGACTTTCTGGAGTCGCCCTAGCTCGAAAGCAAGATGAGCTCGTGGCAGTGGTTCAACCAGAAGATGTTGACCTTCAGCAGTTGAAAACCAAGATATCCTCGGCTTTGCCCCGTTACGCCATCCCACATCACCTTGTTGCTGTAAACAAGATTCCCATGACGCCAGCTGGAAAGGTTGACTATCGCACTGTTTCAAATGCTTGCGAAAGAGTTCCACAGAGCCATACTGAGCCTTTGAGCGATATACAGCAGTTGGTCACCTGTGTTGTCTGCAAAGTCCTTGAGATAAAAGACACAAAGCAAGTATCTCTCGATTCGGACTTTATCGGTTTGGGTGGACATTCCTTGAAACAGATACGCCTTGCTCAAACACTGAGTGAAGCATTCAAGACGCGAATACCTCCTCAACTGATCCTATCCAACCCGTCGGTTCGTGGGCTGTCGGATAGCCTTCAGGTCCTGCTAGGTCCAGACCAATCAAAGCCTTTAGCGGTATCGTGCGCGCGGCTTGGGGACAGGGTCTCGCCCATTGAGCACGAGTGGCTCGTCAAGTACCAATCTCCAAGAGGGACTGCTTCTTTCAACGTCTGTTTCGCTTCCACTTTCATTGAGGTATCGGTTTGTAGAGACATGTTGATCTGGGCATGGAATCAAGTTCTGCAAAGACACAAAATTCTATCGTCGCGATTCAGACTCGATGGGGAGGCCTCAAAGAGATACTCCGATCAAGCATCACCACGCATTGAAGCTTTGTCCGATTTTGACTTCTGGAAACAAGCAAACCGACCCTTTGATTTGACACAGGAAAGCCCCATACGTGTCTTAGTGGCCAGGAACAAGCTTATGGTTGTCATCAGCCATGTTGTAGCAGATTACACTACACTCAGTCTTCTGCTTCAGGATGCATCTCGGTTCTATCATGGGCATCCGGTGCAAGAGAGGCCCGTCTACGCGGACTCTACGTCATTGATGGATGCGACATCCGAATCTGTTATTCATTTCTGGAGGGATTATCTAAGCGATCTACCTCAAGCGCCAAAGCTATTGCGTGATACACCATTGAGAACCACGTATCGGGGTCGCTCTTTCACTATGCACTTTGACTCCCAGCTTTGGAGTTCTATCGTGAAGCTATCTGCAGCCAGGGCTTGCAGTAATCAGCTGTTAGCTATCGCAGTTGTTGCTGTTTGTCTTCAGCAAGATGCGGGCGATATGGACACTATCATTGGCATGCCTTCAATGCACCGACAAACCGAAGAAGAACTACAGACGATTGGGTTGTTTCTCCAACCTTTACCTGTCAGACTAAAGTATTCGAAGGCCACTCGAAATTCGTCATTCCTTCAATCAACTCAATGCTCTATGCTGGCCGCGGTGGCAAATGCGACTTGTTGGGATCGCATTGTCAATGAGCTTGGCGTAAACCACCAATATCCCAACCATCCAATTTTCGACATAATGGTCACGTTTCTAGATGACAGAATGGTGTGCCAACTAAAATTGGATATCCCATCTTTTGAGTCTCGCCATATATGGGCAAATGGTGCTAAATTCAAGCTGATGTTTGAGTTTATGGAGGTTCCAGATGGTAACCTTACGCTTAGGATAGAGTACGATGACTCGTGCATCTCACTACCTGAAGTGGAAAACCTTGCTTCCAGGGTGAAGGTCACGTTGGAGATGCTACTAGAAAGTAATTTTGATTTTGACCGGATTTTGCGCTAGATGTTACGCTTCTGTAGCCTTAAATCACATTTATTGACAAATAGCAAACTGTTTATTCTGCAGGAGAGGCAATTTTATAGATTATCTCGTTATGACCAATAGACTCACTATCATTTATCTGGTCTCTCAACTGATTGATTCTCAACCATCTGTCCCTTGCGTAAATGACTACTGCATTACCCTGTATTTCCCTGTATTGGATAACAAGGTCAACGGTACCCCACCTCCGGAGAAATGACCATCCCTGTTACGGATGTCGCGAACCTTGAGGGATAGGCAATACAAAATGCACAATCTGATACGGCCCGAAATTTAGCGAAGACATACCGGCCGGAGACTTAGCAGAGGATACCGATCGGAGACTTATTAGAGCATTGCGGTCAGAAAATCAACAGAAGTCACATCCATACAAAAACTTCAAAGTGAAAAGCCAGTATACTTTAATTACAGAGATATTAATATAGATTGAATGTAATATTATAGTATGTGAAAATAAATATCTGCAATATTTCTAAATATTATTGAAATTATGATCTTAACTGAGATTCTTTCTCCTCATATGAGAGGCATTGTAGCTGCAGTTTTGCCTTCAGTCTCATCAAATCTGAGCGACAGATCTTCTTATAAGATAGATCTTGCCACAGCTGAGAACTGGTTAATTAGGCCTGAGCTTCAGCGTCTCTGCAAGGAGGCTATTCAGAGCCATCTGACTGAAGACGTATGTGTCGGGTCATATTACCGTTTGGATCATGGGGCTCATCTCTACATTAGCATTTATCTTATTCCAAAGGCTTTGGTGGCGACTCATTACTGCTTGCATCAGCAGCCGACTTCTTCAATACTTACTTCAAGCCGCTCAACCCTGTCCTCTCAGAGCACATAGTAGCTACACCTGGCGCCACCTTGTCTCTTGATTCACTTTTGTTCAGTATTTGTGATGAAGGGGATATTGTTTTGGTACCCGCACCGTACTGGAGTTTGTAAGCCATTCCATCCTCGAGAAAATGGCTAATTATAGGCAGACGGTTTTGATTTCCATTTCAGACTCCGGGCCAAAGTAACGATAGTGCCAGTCATAACAAAGTACGAGATACCTACCGATGGGTGTAACTACGAAATACTCCAAGGCTCTTTAGTTTCTTCCTTGAATGAAGCATATGAAAGTGTCACAGACAAAAGCCGCGTGCGGGCTCTTATCGTGACCAATCCACATAACCCATTTGCCCAGTGCTACCATGAAACAGATCTCAGAGAAGCAATTGCGTTTTGTCAAAGAAATGGATTACACTATATCTCTGACGAACTATACGCCATGAGTGACCTGCAACGAAACCAGGGGTATGACGGTAATCGCGGAGCGCCTTTTGCCTCGGCGCTTAGTTTGACTCATGAGAGCCCTGGGTTAGAGACTCAAAACCTTGAGACCTTGTCCCCAAGTAAGATTCATATCATTTGGAGCTTGAGCAAGGACTTTGGTTCAAGTGGCTTGCGTCTGGTAAGGTTGATTATCCTATAAGTATTTCATTAACTAATATATTACCAAGGGATTCCTTATAAGCCAAAATCCCAGCTGTAAAGCCTTACTAGCTTCAGTCTACTTACTGTCAACTATTCATACGTCCTGTCTATCCTCCATTGCAGCAACCCATCTCCTCAACTCAAAGGAGCTACCAATTCTCCTAGAGAAAGCAGCAAGACGTCTTGAAGAAGCTCATAAAACTGCTATTACACGGTTCCGTAAATGGGGGGCCCCGTTCATATATCCGCATGCTGGTCCCTATGTAACAGTGAAGTTGGTAAAGCAGGCCAGCAACCTCGAAGAGGAAGACGAGGGACTTGAAAAGCTGAAACAAGGTGGGGTTGTGGTCTCAAGACTTCGCGGCTTTGCGGGCTGGAAGGAAATTTCTGACAATCTAAACCACTTTGGCTGGGTTAGAATGACAGTCGCAGTCCCAATGGAGAGACTGATTGATGCTTTGGATAGGATTGCGGATGCTTTGAAGTACGAGGAGAAAGAAGACAGGTTGTAAGTTTGTAAATAAAGATGGTTATGACTGAAGCCTGATTGGAGGTAGGTGTTTGGCATGCTATATAACATAATTAAGTATAGTATTGCTTTTGTATTTCGTTTTGGCCTGAGTAGCTTATGTAGATGTTTAGTCACCACTAAGTAGAGTCTTTGTAAGATGTTCACCCCTGCGAACAAACAATGTGCACATCTGAGCAACGAGCCTCTTTTGCCCATTCTCTCCAGTTCCACAAACCTCCTCAGACAATTCATAAACAATCTTCAAAGCTCGCTGTATCTCCTTATGGAGTATCCGTTTCGTCATCGAAATCTGCTCTTCAGGGTCCAGTTCAAACACACCAAACTGCAAAACTGGCGAAGTGATTGCTGAATTTTGTTGATGACTCCACGCCTGACCTTGAACCATGTCTTCAAATAGTACCAGTATGAGATCCAACACTGAACATACAGTCATGTGACAGCTGCGACAAGCTTTGTACTCTTCCTGGTCCATTATAGTGGCTAGATCTGTCAAACATGCTTTATTAACGCGCAGAATTTCGTCGATGGAATGCGTTTTGGACCGGACATGGTGTTCGAGTATGAGTATGATCTTGGACAATGCCGCGACATGAGGAAATTGGCGACCATCGAACTGGATCTTTTTTGTAGCAGATTCCAAGGATACAGCTACTGATGAGCTCGAGCATTCTGGGCTAGGACGGAACTGTGGTGGTGCCCCCCCGCTTGCGTGTATGGTTGAATCGCCGTCCATGTCTATTAAGTCGAGCGTCATGTGATCCATATTGAAGTCAAAGTTCAGACCTGATTGGAAGTCATGTGACCTATCGGGCTCAATGGTTGAGTCCCCGAAGAGCCCGGCATCAGCAGCACTGCCAGTACCAGTACTAAAGCAATCAAAAGCCTCGAAGTTTGCAGAATTACTCAAAGGTGATGCCAGGGCGGTTTGTGCCAAGTCCAAACTGGTGGAGTTATGCCGTGTTCGTTGTTGGTCATCATTCTGTTGTGATGGCCCTTGATTTCTCCCTGTAATTTGCGACACTTGTTTATTCTTGCGTGACATCCTTCCAACCATTGAGACTTTGTAGCAGCACTTGAGTCCCGCTTGTCGACACCGAGCGCAGCCCGTCTTTTCTCCACTGCACCGAACCTGATGTGCATGCTTGTCAGCCTTGTCGATCCCCATTCACTGCAGCTGGTTGGTTCTGGTATACCTTGGCACTGTGGCATTCAGTGCACGCGGATCTCAATCGAGCAGGCTTTTCCCTGTGTTGTTCGGTCATGGCACCGTCAAGCGAGGAGGGACGGAAATAGTGCAATTGACAACTGCCCTTTATGTGTTCTTTCAAAATACATACAGCATGGGTGCGATCGACTTGGTTCTCAGCGGGGACTTTATTCTTGCTGTCCCTGGTTGATTTGTTAGCTCGATTATATCGACAGCAACGAGCAACGAACGAAATCTCTTGAATTCTCAAGATCTTGAAGTGTCAGTTCAAGCTGGGCAGAGTTGTGGATCCTGAATCATGATTCAGCAAGGCCGTTGGCTACCTAAAACTACCGGCCATCAAGGTTGCATCATCCCACGTCCGCTAAATGAAAATCAGTCGGAAATAGCGCAGTCTGCACCGATTTAGGTCATTCGCGGTATCAATCAAGCATAAAACTACGGCCTTTAATTATCCCGCATAACGAGTCTGCTCACGCAATGGGCTAGATTCTCCCACCAATACCCACTTCACTGACGTTGTGTTCATCAATGAAACCCTTGTGGACTTTGTCAATTCCTCGTACTTCGGCTTTTATCCAGTGCTAACTTATAGTTGATACTTGTGGCTGAGCGCTTCAATCAGCAGACAGAACTTGGTAAAGATCCAGTACTCTGCACCTAAGCCTTATGCAGCACTGTCTTGCCCTCCTAAGGCTCACCCGCCCCATCTTCTTCGTCTTCTTCCTGCCAGGTAGCTAGCTTTCCTTCAGTTTTCCACTTGCGAATATCTTTGACAGCGTTCTCGCAGGCTCCTCTAGCCAGAGCTGTATAGTTGACCTCTATATCCCTAGCAGCCTGTGTTCCAGGCTCAACGTTGTCAAGTTTGAGTTCATACATGGCAGTCAGGAAAAGTACAGGTCGCTCATTGTCCTGTTGCCCAGTTGTGCCGTGGGACAGTAGGAAGGTACTTGTGGCGCCCGTTGTGACTGTTTTTGCTTGAACCTAGATGGATGTGAGCGGACATCAATCAATGCCTCGGAATGGAATGTGGGGGCGCACTTACATGAAGCGGCGGGGCGATGATAACATCCTGGATCAGATCCTCACCAGCCGCTGTGTGGACCGCACCATCGGCAAGGGTGAGCTTACGACGGAATTCGTTCTTTGTACCAGCTAAGACCTCACAAGAGGCTACATACGGTGCAAAGTCGTTGGGGTTGCGGCCTCCACGTCGAATCCCATACCAAAGTTCTGTCTCGTTGAGAACAACGGTCTGATCCGGGGGATTCACGGATTGAGTGAAGGCAATGTTGAAGCTGAACATGGACTGAGTCATGGTCTAATAGGGGCTAGTAATGTCTAAGTTGTGAGCTAGAAGTGTTATTTGCCGCTGAGACCTGTGGCTGAGAGCTTAATCCAGCCGAGAGAAGGTAGATAGATAGGGAGCAAGATTGACCGAAAGTAAAGTATACCGAATAAGTAATTCGTATCAGTCAGGCTATGCAGATGAGGCACCAGGGTTGATGACAACTCAACAGTCAGTCTTACAGAGCGTTTCCTGCTAACGCTATCTATATATCTCTCGTGTTGAAATAATGCAAGCTTCTGAGTCAGGAGCTAGATCTGTTATTTACGGCTAAGATTTATCCCTGGGAGATTAAATCAGTGTAGGAAACTTGGAATGATGCAAGCAATGATTGCTTCCGGTTTGAAATCACTTTCGGCATCTGTAAAGCGGATGGAACGCTTCGGCCCGCTTTGCGAAAACAAGTTACGAAAAGCCGAGAACCCTGGTGGCCTAACGAGCCTCCCGGTTCCTCTCTTGGAAGCCACCAATAATAGACCTTTAAAAGGTTCCTTATAATTAGAGCTATCAAGGTCGCCGAAACAGGCATTTCGAAATGGGAATAAATATGCTTTAAGATATTAAGTTTAAATATACTGTAAAGTTTCTATATAGCAATTAGCTGTTGAGTACTTTATTTTTTAAGTATAATTATGTCTCCTATATTAACTAATTGTTTTTAAGTTCTTACTATGTAAATTAATATATAAAGAATGATATAATTAAATACAGTTATATTCTTCTATAATTGTACGATACTGGCTAGCTGGTTTTATTTCCGAGACCTAAACATAATCTCGGCTTGTGCATCAGGCAGGATTGCCAAGCCGTAATGAATCTGACCTGGCTTGCCCGTGCCCTTCTTAAGCTTGACATTATAGTTCATAAGTAGATGCGCAAGCACCACCTTAATCTGAGCGCTGGCGAAGAACCGACCCGGACATGCCCAAATACCGTGCCCGAAATTGATGTTGTCAAGACCTGTTGATGCGTGCTGGTATTTAGTCTCGTTCCCTGGATCTTCACGAAGTCTAGAGAACCTAAATGGATCGAATGTTTCTGGATCGGGATATACTTTGGGGTCGTGGTTGATGAAGTGGCTCATAATGGTCATACGTGTTCCTGTGGGAAGAACGTCTCCGGTAGATGTCTTAAGTCCTTCTGGACTCGTGACGATACGGGGAATATTGACTGTGATGCGATGAGTACGATTAAACATGAAGCGTGAGGATGTATTTGTTTACCTAGTGACGGAGGACAAAGGCGCTGGGACTCTTTGGCAAAGCTATCCAGCTTTTTCAACTTGGCCAATGAGTTCTTATCAATTACGCCATCTCCTCCAAGAACTTCCATTAACTCCTTTCGCATCTCCTCAACGTCTTGCTCGGGAGTGGCAGCCAGGTCAAAGACGATATAGGTCAATGCGTTGGATAAATTGTAGATTGAAGCGAATGTTGCCAAGAGTTGATCTCTGCCAAGCTCCTGAACAGTTGGGGTTGTTTTGTATTGCGAAATGAACCAGTCAAGCAAGTTTCCTCCAACAGGCTTCTCTTCGTTGGCAACACTTGGAGACGAGCCCTGTTTCTTCTCCAGAAGTGGTGCCAGTTTCCCCTCATTATTCTTCCTCTGACGCTTCAAGCTTCGTACCTGAGGGAGAAAAGGAGCGACGAAAAACCGGACCGGCTGAGGGATCATCTTTAGAATCATCCAAGCCTTGGAGACATCGGCTGTATAGTTGACATTGGCTTCGACCCAGTCTGGTTCACGACTCAGTGGAAGTCCCACGAACGCCCTTCCAGACATGAGAGATGCGACTCTGCACATGGCCTTGCGAGCAATAACAGGCGTCCAGTCTTGGCATGGGCCAATTGTGTTGGAAATTGCATACTCGACCTCCTCGGTGAAGGACTCGAGAACGGCTGGGGTGTTTCGGGTAAGAACGTTGCGCATTGCTGAGTCGAATTCGTCGGACTTGGTACCCATGTAAGTATATTCTCCGAGAAAAACATCGTAATGGTGCTTTCTGAATCCCGTCAGTGGTTGAGCAGACCGCTATTATCGACCAACTTACTTAATTGACACAACTGACTCCGGGAGCCCACGAATGGTGTCTACATCGGCGGGTGGCAAAACAGCCATTTCCATCCCTGGCAATTCGAGCATAAAAGGGGAAGTCGGGTACTGCAGAAGAGAGTCAGCTCTCAAAGTGAGAATCGGATCAGGGACTGAAGGACCTTTTGGTACGCCTCGGTAAGAACTGCCAGCACATTATTGTCTCGTAATTTGAATATCGGCAAATTATGCTTCTTTTTCATTGGGACCATGCGATATAGACCATAGGTCAGTACGAGGAGTAAGGCAATGCCGTAATGCAAGGGCATATGTTGCAGCTTTGCAGCTTGACTAGTTGAATACTGTAGCAATCCCATCGTGAAGACGTGAAATGATGGTCAAGGCTCGATGTCTCTTCTGGGAAGGCTACTGCTTTCGAATAATTATGAGGAAGTGAAGGTACAGACACCACACAAGATCAAAAGGAGTGTCCAATAAAATATTTCAGATTAGGAAAACATCGCCGCGGGCCGTATGATCGATCCTGTCCACCCTGCTTACAGTATTTAGGAATCTAACCCAGCACCATTTCGGTAGCGCTAACGATCTGCGTCTCCAAATACCAGTAAAATGCAGTACACCGACATGGTTTGGTACTTTGCTTACGGCTCCAATATGGCCAGCTCAACACTCAAACGACGGCAGCTAAACCCAAGAGACTCTCGGCCTGTCTTTGTGTCCTCTCATGTTCTTTGCTTCGATGTGTTCGGTGTCCCATACAAGGAACCCGCTATGGCCGGTATTCGGGAGAGGACTCCAGTCGATGACACAAATGCGACGCCTTCGGTGCACGGGATGGCTTACTTGCTATCACGGGAAGACTATCATCGGCTGATAGTCTCCGAAGGGGCGGGCGTAGCCTATGTCGAAACGGAGTTGATGGCCCGGATCTGTTCAACTGTGTTTACGGAGCGAGCGGCGACTTGTGAGGAGATTCCGGTGTGGACCTTGATGGCGAGATTTCCATTCCGGCCCGAAGCCCTTCCGAGCGTTCGGTACATGGTAGGCACTGCGGGCCAATGCTTTGAATCTTGGTCTGACTTTAGTAGGGGCTGTTGATCCAGGGAGCCGAACAATCCGGCCTGCCAGCCTCATACCAAGACTTTCTACGCGATATTACTGCGTATCACAAAAGTCTTTCCAAATACGAAGAATTCGGCGCGTCGCTCCTGATCGGCTTTTGGATGCCTATAATCAATGGTATAATGAAGAGAGTCAAGCGGAGAACCGATTCGGATGGTAATGCACCGCCTTGGGTCGGGGAACTGGTTAGGTTGGTTTTTATCACCATGTGGCTCTACTATGATACCATACACAGCCGTATCTGGGGTCCGAATGGTGGAAGGGATTTAGCTGGAACTACTTAAAGATGGCTCAGTGCTAGTCTTAGTTAATCTTGTTGATAATTTACTTGATGAACCATGGCTCCAACACCTGATGAATACTTGTTGCAGGCCCGTGCCCTGCTGAAAAGAGTCCCGTTGGTTGGTCAGTAAAACACTTGCCTTCATGCTACGTTGCTCACGGGAATCACAGATGGACACAATGACTTTCCCTACATGATTCGAGGATGGTTTGGAAATAACTTTGAACTATTCCATCCTGGGATTCATAATATGCCTATCGGCCAAACTGACCTAACACGATTGAGAAAGGGCCTCATTGGTGGACAATTCTGGAGCGCTTTCATCCCAATGTTTGATTACTTCAAGATTGGATTTCGCTATGCCTGTTCTGATTCTTCTTAGTCCAAAGACCAATGATAGACTCGGCAAGCTTGAGTGTCTGATGAAGACTTTGCAGCAGATTGACACCATTCACTTAATGATTGAGAACTTATCTGATCATTTCGGGGCGGTAAGCTCATCCAGGGATATTGAGACAATCTTCAAATCAGGAAGGGTTGCTAGTTTGATCGGTGTTGAAGGACTGCATCAGATTGCTGACAGTACTTCCGTTCTGAGGCTGTTTCACAAACTTGGTGTCAGATACATCACTCTCTGTCACGATGATGATAATCGATATGCTGATTCCTCGGTAAGTATTTAAGCTCGGTTGAATGACTTTGTTAACGTTTTTTCAGAACGGAAAGAGTACAAATGGTGGTTTATCGAGTTATGGCCTGGATATAATACTTGAAATGAACCGCATTGGCATGTGAGTTGCCCAGATTTGTTCTTGAGATAATAGTGCTAATATTTGCTCTCACAGGATAGTCGACCTGTCGCATACAACTACAGAAACTCAGAAACAAGTTCTGAGTGTTTCCAAGTCCCCGGTCATTTTCTCTCATTCCTCTTGGTAAGTTCTTGGCTATTGAGATCAATTCGGGATCAATAAATCTGACCAACCCAGTAACTCGCTACTACCCAGTCCTCGCAACGTCACAGATGAGATCCTGGATCTTTTAAAGACAAACAAAGGCCTTATAATGATCTGCTTTCTCCCTGACCTTGTCAGTGCCAACGGAGTCCAGGGTGCTATTATCGATCAAGTCATTGACCACATCATATATGCAGGTCAAAGGATAGGCTTTAAGCATGTTGGCATTGGTTCTGACTTTGACGGCATGTTAGAAGGTCCAAAAGATTTAGATGATGTGTCCAAATACCCGGAGCTTGTTGAAAAGCTTTTCGAGCGTGGACTCTCAGAAGATGTTATCGCTCAAACGCTTGGTGGCAATATAATTCGGGTTCTTGATGAGGTGGAAGCCGTGTCAAGAGAGCTCAAAGGCGACGTACCTGTGCTATCTGATCCGATAGAGGAAGTATGGACATCAGAACAGAAAGATATACTTACTAGGATGGGAACGTTGAGAAGTTCTGAGGGTTCTGGTACTAGATTGGCCCTTTAGATAGTAAGGCTATAGGTTGAATGAGAACTTTTGCAAGAGCGTATTGTTGGCATATACAATACGGCATGCAATAAAAGGCAATACATTTTAAATTGCAGTGGTATAGTATGAGATCCGTGGATTAATATAAGCTTTTACTAACACCTTTTACTTCGTACTGCAATATATACAAGTGCCTGCTTAGAGTCTAAGATACGTCTCGTCGAGATGTTACAAGCTTTAACCATCAATCAATAGTGTAAGATTTCAAATCAACAAGAGCTTACTATTCATGATGTAAAGCATATATATTGAGATAATTAAAACCATATACATTAGCATGTACTTATGCTAATGAACTCCTTCAGCGGTCCCACTTATACAATCGATCTATCTACAGAGAAAGAAGTACTTCATCTTCACGATGGAAGTCATTACCAACATACTACCCTAACACTAGACTACATGATCAGGAAGGCTACAGAGACAGCAACAAGCCCAACCACTACACCGTGGAGTGACATGCCCCGAGCCGCATCACCTGTGGCTGTGGACGGAGTAGGCATTGGCATTGAAGAGGTTTGAGCAGTCTCGTGCGTCTCGTGTGCATGAGTTCCAGTAGCGGATTTCATAGCACCTGGATTTGGAGTAGGAGTCGCCGCGACCTCTGCAGCCTGGAGCTTTTCAGCTCCTTCGGTGATGATGGCAGGCATTAGGCGGGTTTTGGTGTTCATTTCGTACTTCGACAAGGACGTGGTGACCTTTACGCCGGCTGAGTTCTTGGTCTGGATCCAGATGTGGCAGCTGGCCTCCGCGGTCTTGATCTTGCAGTTCAGGTCCTCAGAGCTAAGCATTGAAGGTCAGTTTGGTTGACAGGAGGTTTCCTGACAGACTGGCTTACAAGTAAGAAACTTTCCCGTTGCCATCAAATGAGTAATTGATGGACAAAGTCTCTGGCCCGACGACCACGGTCTGGGTACCGATGATTTCGCATTGAACATTGTCGACGTTTTGGCCGCAGTGAAGGGCGAAGGTGGTGACTTGAGGGCTTGCTGCTACTACGGTACCGTAGACTGACTTGATGCCCTCAACAGGGAAGAGAACATCAAGAGTTGTCGTTTGCGCAGAGGCAAGGGTACACAATAATGGGACGAGGATGGTGGAGGGTATCATGGTGATGCGAGATGGTCAATTGACACCAGATCAAAGGAATCGAGGAGAGAAGGAAAGAGTAATGATCTGCGTAGCAATGGTCCTGCATAATCTTGATTGGAGCAGTTCTTCTTATTAATTACGCTCTCTGCTGAGCCATCGGTCCGGACACTTTTTCTGGCCCTCGGACTCATTCTCTCCCCCACGCCAAGACTACAGGCACAGCACCTTGATGGTCTACGCCACCTCGTAGAACGCGGCACGGAGAGGAGCAAAGGATGGTCGGGACACTTTGCGCAAAAAATTAGATCTAAAAGAGCCAATCGGCTCCCGAAAATTGGCGTTATTCTCAGTTCAAAGTTTGTGGCTCCATCGTGAGCCAGAGAGGTTCTAGCTGATTGTAACTTTTGTGTTAGTCGATAATAGATTCACGTAATTAGAAGCTACTATAAATGTAAACACTTCATTCCACATTTTTAGTCCGAAATGTCATACCATAATCGAGCTTCGGTGACCAAAGCTGGGACCTGAGCCTCCTGACGTAATAATAGCAGTATTTAACGACTGTAATAAGTAGAAGGTAGATAATTATAGATAAACTAATAAAAACATTTACTAATATTGTTTATATAGTAACTCTACTATAAATTAAATATCTATATATTATAATAAACTGTTAATTCTATAATTACTTTTAAAAGAATAATTATACTCTCTATTACTATCTCTATAAATCTCTTAAATGTCCAGAATGTCGAATTATAGCTGTAGATTATAAGAAAGACTTAGCTGCATGTATAGACATACTACTTAGCTGCGGCCAGCCTGTTAACACTCTTCCATTCCATACCAACAACTCCAACAATCGACAGTGCAGCCAGGGCCACCGAGAGATACCACGACTCCGTCAGTGCACTGTTGTAAGCCTCCAAAACTCTGGCATAAAACCGAGGATCAACAACGTCCTTCAGATCCGTAGCTCCAACTTGTGTGACGATCTTTAAATTCTCCCCTACCGTTTGTGAAATTCCATGGCCGAGGAGATTACCAAAGATACTTTGAGCAGCTGATATGGATATCGCACCTCCCAACATTTGGCAGAGCGTGATAATGGCAGTTCCAGTCGGAATATCAGCTTCTTGCAGAACAACCTGGGACGCTATGATACCCAGTTGGATACCACAACCAACTCCTGCCCCAAACAAGAATTGATATCCGATCCATTTAAGATGGCTGGTATCCGTCTCAAAGGTTGTGATGAGGCCCGCTCCAATGGCGGTCAAGATACTGCTGGCATAAGCAAAGGGTACATAATGCCCGATGGCGGTAACTCCTCCACCTGCCACAAGGGAAAAAATGACTACTGACAGAATCATGGGCAGACACATAATTCCTGACTTGATAGCAGAAACACCTTTGATGGCTTGGAACCATATGGGTATATAAAAGACGATGGCGAAATATGCAGCACTGAGCAGGAGAGTAAAGACACTCGCAGACACAAGTGTCCTCTGACGGATAATTCGAGGCGGTACTGTAGCCTTGTCTCCCTTCCACACCTGGACCGCAACAAAGGCTGCGAGGAGGACAGTGCCGAGGACAAGAGGACCTATGACCTTACCGGAACTCCACGGATACTTTGTTCCCCCCCACTGAAGAGCAAGAAATAGGCATACTACACCAGGAAGGAAGCAAACTGTGCCAATGGGATCCAGATCGCTCACATAAGATACCCAGGAAGAACCTTGAGAAGGGTTCTTTTGCTTCGGGATATGAACGGTCATTATTGCGGTAAGCATGGCGGCGGCTCCTACGGGTAGGTTAATGTAGAAGCTTTGTCCAGTTAGCTTTCTGTCATATTATCTTGTGAATATAACTTACCACCATCGCCAAGTAACATGGTCAACAAATGCTCCTCCCAGCAGTGGTCCAATAACAGATGCAACGCCATAAACAGATCCAAACATGCCGTTGTCTGCGAATTTTGGTTAGAATTATGCCACCACTCAAGCAGAATCAACATACACAAGGGTCTTTTGTTGAGTGGAACAGAATAAGCGATAATGATAATGGTACCTTGGAATATACCAGCAGATCCCAATCCTGAGATGGCACGTCCTACGATGAGCGCTTCAGACGTCGGCGCAGCTCCGCAAATGGCCGAGCCGACTTCAAAAAGAACCATTGCCACAATGAAGACCCATTTTATGTTGAACAAGGTGTAAGATTTCCCAAACAGGAGTTGGAAAGCGCATGTTGTTAGGAGGTAGGATGAGCCGTACCATCCTATGTCGTCAAGAGACTTGAAGTCATCGGAAATTCGAGGTATAGCAGTCGCAATGATTGTGTTATCCTGTATCCTATGGTTAGATATGGCGGACATTTTACGTAGACCACGATACTCACAAGCGCCACCAAAAGTACAGCCAGACCAAGCCCGACAATCAGAGAGATGAGGCGAAGGCCACCGGGATAGTCTATCTTCGGAGTTCTTGGGGCATCATTTCCAAGAGTGGCGTTGTTTTCCTCTGCTGAAGAGCATTGTTGGGTAGACGCATTTTTGGCCTTTTCGTTTTCACCTTCCAAGATCATCCTGCTCGTGAAAAGGATAGCGTCCACGAGAAATGAATGTTTCGTCGAACAGAATTCGGAAATGGAAGACGTTTTTTTGCCAGCGATATTGGGGTAGTACATGGTAGTCTCTCACGTAACGTGTTCGGAGTTAGTCTATTTTGAATCAAAACTAGAACAGCGGCCCGAACCCTGAACTCTCTCGGCCACCGATAGTATTGCAGGGGGGACATGCTGCACCGCCAGCCTAGAGGCAAGGACTTCTCCACGACATTGAATGCTGTCGAGAAGACGTAGCTTCCGTACCAGACTATTAATGACTATCCGTCGGAGAGAAAAAATTGCAGTTATTGATATTTATATACAATACAGTATTGGGAAATAAACCGTCCAGTGTCCTCTTCATCACAATTGACGGCCGCCAACCACCATGTCTTTTCTCATAAGCCATGCCACGCTAGGTCTCTCACTTAGTTCTTTCATAGCCGCTCACTTTCTTTGTACAGCTACCCTGGGCTTCACAACCAAAGATCAAGCATGGGTCCGACGAGTTGCCTCTATCTTCGTATTTATATTCACGTTTATTGGTAATCGCACCGCTTCTGCCGTGTCGGAAAACGCGAGTATTCGATGCCTTCTCGTAACATTTTCCTGGGTTCAGGCATTCAACGGTAACTCGCTGCTCTGTCTTTCAAAGGCTGAGTACGAGACCTTGAACCAAGAGAGACATCAAAATACCGCACCAAAGTCTGTTTTTGTGGGAAGTAGTGCTTCTGGCAACGGATCATTCTTTAGCCGTCTCACATGGGCTCTCGCCATGCAGTGGAATCTGCGTCGCATCAAAACATCCAGACCAGCCCGAAACACACCTCCATTCTCGTCCAAAGATCCAAGTTATATTCCATCAAGAGGTCGATTCCTATTGAACCGCACTGCTGTCATCCTCGCTTCCATTGCTTACATGGCCATCATTGGTCTCCAGCCCCAACCAACTCGCGAGGATCTCTCTGGTGACAGAGTTAGATTCTTCTCGAGATTGAATGAAGTGACACTGTACGAGCTTCTCCAGAGAGGCATTTCAACTGTCACATGGCTCTCTGGAATTGGGACAACCAGCGAGATCTGCTACAACGTAATCGCTGTCGTGTTAGTGGGCTTAGGTCTCAGTGAGCCTGTTATGTGGCCTTCTTGGTTTGGCTCCTTTGCAGCGGCTTATAGTGTGCGCAGGTGGTGGGGGTGAGTTTCCATTCCACTATTACCCCTACTCCTAGGTACTGACTATTTATAGCATTTCGTGGCATCAAACCTGGAGATGCTTCCTCACGGATCATGCCGATTGGGTTGTATATGAAATACTACACCTCCCCAAGACTTCACTGATTACCCGCCACACCAAGAACTTGGTTGTATTTTATATATCTGGACTAATCCATCTAGCACCTGATCTTGCTATTGGCATGCCTCTGAAAGAATCTTCTGCCATAATGTTCTTTACTTTTCAGGCAGTGGGTATTATGATTGAGGACTTGGTGCAGAGTTTAAATGATAAGCTTGGGGTGGTCAAGAGTTCGATTACGGCGAGATGCATAGGATGTGTTTGGCTTACGGCTTGGCTTGTTTGGACGATCCCGTGGTGGTCGTTTAGTTGCACAATGCACATGAAGGCTGGGCAGGATGATCTAATTTCGCTGGCATAAGGCAACGATGCTCAAGTTTAAGAAACTATATATATAAGGACTATCTAGAAAGAAAGGCGATAGAGGGAATAAATATAGGCTCTTGGGAGTCCCTTAAAAGTATATTTGATAACTGAAAGTAGAGAATACAGAGTCTTAATACCCAACTTGAAACCAGACTTCACCTATGTGATGATTGACATCCTCCTTGAACTACTGTCTTAAAACCCCCATTAAGATTAATGACATCAAACCCAAACTCTCTGAGAATACAGTAAGCCAAATAGTCGCGGTAACCAACTTGACAGTATACTATAGTTAATCGTGTCCTGTCTAGAGTGGCCAGCTGTTGCCTCAGGCTACTGAGCGGAACATTGACTGCCTGGTGAAGATGACCGCGAGCAAATTCCTCAGGAGAGCGGACATCCACGACTTGCAGTTCGTCAAGTTTTTCTCTAGCTAGCAAGTTCTTCAGCATGGACAATCTTACAGTCTCAGTCAAGATCGCATAAAAACCCCCACTCTAGGTTGCATCATTCAAGTAAGCTCTGAATTTTACAGCCCAACAGCAGCTCATACTGTCAGGCAGTCCAGGGCGTACGTGGCCCTACCACTGAACTCACATTTTGACGAAGAATTGGGTGCAGCCTTAGACGGTTCCATGGCATCACATGTTTTGGGAAACTGGCGGAACCCATTCATGGCCCGCAAGGATGCCTAGACCGTGGAGCTAGATGATCATTCGCCCAGTGAAGTAGCAGTCGATAAATGTGTCGAAGACGCAGACTTTGTTACTGGCGTGGAATACGAAGACTTGTTGGGGGGTGATGATGATCATGGGGATGACTCGAACGACTTCCATGGGCCATCGGACCCCGGCGATTCCGTCCACGAGGACTGCTTCACTTCAGCCACTCAAAAAGGGATAATAGAGATACAAGCAATGTTTTCTATCGAGTATGGACAAGGTACATCGAAGGCTCTGGACTATGATTGGGCCCTTATCAGCTTGCCGGAAAGGGGACATAACCTCAACCCCTTACTGTCTCCCTTGTAGTCAATATACTCCTGTAAAATTTAAATAATGTTTCGGACAGCGTTCTTAACGTATGCCACAGCACCTCCCTGGTGCCTTTCGTCTCCTTCTGCAGAGGTACCTACAGCACTGATGTCCCTCATGCCTGTGTAGATATCGATGTCCTTTGTTCTGATGAACAATGGGCGGTGTTCTGGCACATAGATCCAGCTGTAGCCCTTCCAGACTAAGTAGAGGAAAATCAGTAGCGGACCGGCAAGGTAGAGCTGGAAAAAGTTTGTTGCATCCAGGTTAGGACCGCCAATAGGATAAAGCGCGACGTAGAACTGGGCGATCAGAGCAAGAACGCAGACAAGCAAGCATATCCAGGAACCCCAGACGCCGCAATTGGCCTTGTAAGGAAGCTCGTCCAAGGTATGACCGTTCATGGCCCTGTTCGAAGTTAGTCATCGAAGGAACAAAGCAGACCAGAAAACAACAGGTGATTTGCTTACCAGGCCTTGCGGAAGCGGATATGAGCCAGAGCGATGCCACCGTACACGAAGAGGATGGTAAGACCCGACAGTGACAGGAGCCAATTGAAGATCGTACCACCATTATGCGCCAGGTTGATGAATGCTAGCAGCCCGAAGAGAAGCTGAAGAATGACCACGGGAATAGGACGACCCTTTTTGTCAACGTAGGCCATTTTCTTTGGGAACATTCCTGCACAGTGTGTGTTAGCATCTCAAACAACATGTTCATATCATCACGCAGCACGCACCATTTGCAGCTAGAGCCTGGAGCGTTCGAGTCGAGCCAAAGGTGCACGAGTTAGCAACACTCATAACGGCGATCAGGATAACGGCGTTAAAAATCGACGGCAGGACCTTGATGCCAGCAAGCTCAATTGCAATGACAAAAGGCGACCCTTGCGAAGCGGTAGTCGCACTGCCGTACAGGGGACTGTTTGCCGGTACGATGAGTCCAACAAGAAGAAGGTTGACGACGTAAAAGATACCGATTCGCCATGCGACCTGATTCGAGGCCTTCGGAATCTCCTTCTTTGGATTGGCTGTTTCCGCAGCAGCCAGTCCTGTCAGCTCGGTGCCAGTGTAGGCAAACGCTGCAGTGACGAAGACGCTGCAGAAGCCGTGGAAGCCATTGAGGAATGCGCTGTAAGGATCGTTCCTGTGTCGAAATCCATGTTAGCCTAGTTCAGCCGCTTGGAGGCATGCATAACATTACCAGTATCTTCCACCGATGTAGCCTCTGTCGTCTGTTGGAACGCCACCACAGTTGATTATTATTCCCAGGATGATAAAGCCTATGCAAGCGAGTATCTTCATCAAACTGAGAACAAATTCGACCTAATTCAATAATCCGTGAGCTCATTATCCATATATCTCAAGGCTGGGAACTTTTCAGACAGGTGGGAACATACCTCGCCGTATCCCCTGACGCCAAAGAATTGAATGACCACCAAGGCTACAAGTAGCGGGACGATCCAAGCACTGTTGTTAATACCGTGCGAACCTGGCCAGAAATGTATCATGTTGCAAGCAGCGGAGATCTCGAAGGGAAGGACAGTCAGCCAGCTGATGGCGTACTCGATGCCGCACGCCCACCCAAAGGAGGGATCAACGAAGCGGCAGATGTACATGGTGAAGGCACCGTTGATCGGATACAGGACAGTCATTTCTGCGAGGGCCTGCATCATGAGGTATCTAAATGATCTATGTCAATATCCATCAACCGAAGGGAAAGTTGCTTCGACTTCCACGTCGAGGGAACATACACCATGACGCCTGAAGAACACACGCGTTAGCTATCGCATCACTACCAATGCAGGGTACATAACTTACCAACAATTAGGAAACCAAGAAAAACAGAAGCAGGTCCACCAGTCTGAAAAGCAGTTCCGGAACCGATAAACAGGCCAGCGCCAATTGCACCACCACTTAGAAAAGCGACCGTTAGTTGGTATATTTGAGTCCTTGGTATTAAACCCTTACATGGCAATCATCTGCATGTGCCTGCCCTTGAGGTTTTTATGGAGGGGATTAGTCGCCCCGGCCTCTGGGTTATCAACAGCGAACTGCTGGCCGGCCGCGGGATCGACCGTGCCCGATTTGTAGTCGGGGGCATCGCTGCTGCCATTTTTTTCGTTCTTAAGACTCATCGTGATGAGGACGGAGGAGAGGGGGGGATGGGTAGGAATGAGAGAAGTAAGAAAGAAGAAAGGAAGAAATGTAGAAGATGGAAGGCTACCCCAATTTTAAAGCTCCAGGCA